TTGGAAAACACATTTAAATTTTTAATTTAGGATCGAAGAAAAGGATAGCAATGAATCATTTCGTATATGATGCATGTTATCGGATGAAGCTAATTGCATATGTTCGGATGATACAAAATGAAGGAACTACAGTCAACTAATCAAGATGTCAGTATAGATGCAAATTCAATAAATTTGATATCTCGTATGTATATATCTCTCTTTTTATTTGTATTCATCAAATTTTTTCAAAAATTATATACAAACCATAATTTTTAAAAATTAATAGAATGTTTATAAAAAATACCTCATATTTTTTAGGCTTCACCCAAATTTTTTTTTTTTTTCAAACTTCTCGTCTTTTATATTTATAGTTTTTTTTGGCAGACATTGATAAAAATGTTAAAAATGAAAAACCTAAATCTAAAAGCCAAAAAGCATTTTAAAAAAACATTCATGGCTTTAAACTTTGGTGAGTATTTGAGAAAGAGGCAAGTGGATCTTTTTACGGTTTATTTTATTGTGCAATCTCTTCAATTGTGGTGAGATGGGAAGTTTTTGGTTTTGTTGATTAACTAGACATCATGAACATGGCTGAAATAAATTTAAGGGTTAATTAGCTCAATATTATGTTTTGAATAAAGAATTAGAAAACTAACATGTTCCTAAAAGAATTTAGGTAAGTAGCATATAAAAGAAATAGTTGGACAAATTTGCCCATAATAAATTTAGTAAATTATTGTTGGTAATAAATATCCGTAAATATCAATGGTGAAGAAGATGAAAGTAAGGTTGACGGTGGATCTCGAAAAGGAATTAGAAGTACATATAGTTGACTATATTCAATTTTCTGAAGAAGAAAAAAATTTGGTTAGAAGATGACATAAAACAATGATGAAAAAAACAAATATGAACAGTTATTTATTTAATAACATAGTTAACTATTTTCGAAACTGCATTTTAATTGGTCTTAGAACATAGTTAACTACATCACATTATTTGTAATTATCTAAAAATATAGTTAGTTATATTAAGAAAATAGATACCAGTTTTAAAATAAAGTTGACTATTTACAGAACATATTTACCAATTTAAAAATATAGTTAACTATTTCAGAGCATAGATATCTACTATACTAATTTCATGACATAATTGACTACATGAAAATGATGTGGTAATAGTTACTTATTTAAACAAAACAAAACATAGTTGACTACGTGCATAACATACCTAATTAACTATCATTAGAGAAACATAGTAACCTATATAATATAAAAATAACATACATAGTTAACTATTATCATAAACATAGTTACCTATTATGATAAAAAAATAACAAACATAATTAATTATTATGAGAAATATAGTTACCTATTATACTAGTCTTTTTAATATAGTTGGCTCAGTTTGACGAGGGGATGATAGTGAGGAGTTGAACGGGGGAGAAGAAACACCATGTTAATTTACGATTAGAGATTTTGATCTATGGTAACGAGTTAAGACAACATAATTGAT